ATAGTGATGGTGGAAAAGTTGAAGGAGAAAAGAGACAGACCCAGAGAGAAGATGCTGAACAGCTCGAAAAAAATGGCAGGGAAGATCACCTGTGTCAGGACTGACTGAAAGTACACGAGAAGAGGGTTGTGGATAGACATGACTACCAACGACACATGGCTGAGACTATAAGGAGAAGAAAGCTCATATGGAAGGTTAGAGTTCAGAGCATGGTAGAATAGCAAAACCCCTCAGAACTCAAGCCTGGCTCATTTTTAATTTGTAAATACAATTTAAAATTTAAAATGGTGAATCTGACAAGTCACGCACCAATGCAAACTGGAAGTAGTATGGACAGAGCTAATATCATCAACACTGAATGGACTAGGTGGGGGATAACAGCAAATCTCTGATGCTAAATAGCTGCATGGCTGAGAAGTTAAGCTTGGAGACACTATAACCAACTCCCCATGGGAACAATCAGTAGAGGTACCTTAGAGTGACTGCTGTATCAGAGAACTGAGCACACATGTGAATGAATGACCAATGTGCAAAGGTGTCGATTGTGATAACATAACATAATGATTACCTGTGCTCTAAGTAACACACCCCAGATGAGTTGACACAATCAGTTAAGTAAAAAAAAAAGAAGTGAGTCGTCAGCAATCATTCCCAAACATTTAAATTGATTGGCTAAGCAAGGCACAGATTACAAGAGAAAAGGGTAAAACTAAAAATGTAGGGTAAACAAAGTGTTGATTAGTGGTGTGTGTATATATTTGCATATCTTTGATCTGGTTTCCCTGTCATGACATTATAAAGTATAAAAGGTTAAAAGGTTAAAAGGTAGCCAGCTAAACTGGTGGACACAATCGAAAACAGGACTAAGTAAACATTAGGTAAACTCAGTTTTGGGGTCTCCGTGGCAAACTAGTCAAGCCCTTTGCCTCGCACACTAAAGATCGTGGGTTGGTTTATCAGAAGCGGCATTCAGTTTACAAGTGCCATTTTTACAGAGATTCCTAGGATCATTTCTAGAGCTGCGGAGTTTGTGCTCTGTCTCCCCCCCCCCCCCCCACCCCCCCCCCCCCACCCCCCAGATTTCTTGGTGGTGGTACATCTTCTTCCGTCTATGCCTATTAGAATGATTTCATTCAACACCCACAGATTGTTCATCCTTTACATACTGTACTGTAGCAGTCATATGTTGTACTTTTGTACCCTACTCATTTCAAACAACTGACAATGTTCGTCGCGAGGAGGCTGACATTACTCTTGCGATGAGTAGCAAATTTTTTCTAAAAGTAACAGACGTCAAGATGTCTCAATTACTTTGCTTGTTTATTTATTCTCCAAATGGAGAATAGGTCCCCTAGCCCTCCTTTCAGGCCCTTAGTAGATCTGCTCATGGGTGGTTGGATCCAGGAAGAAGGCTAAACTGGGCAAAAGCAGCCTGAAAACGTGGATGCATTGGCAGCTACAGGCACAAAATAATTATTCCTTGGATTAGCAAAGAAGAAGAATGAATGAATCCAAAGACCAAGAATTGACATCACTGCACTTGGGATATTCCCACGTGTGCTCCGTCTCCTTCAGTAGCCAATAAAGTGTTACCGTGCTAACAGTGCCATTTGCAATCTAATTTAAAGGCTGCATACTTTTTCTCCTCAGTGTTGAATATCACCCAGTACCCCTGCTTTCTCACCATTGAATTAGTCTTTTAAGGTATGGATGGAGACTATATCTGTTCTTTTGCACTGTCCACTTGACCCCAGAGAGCTCTTGTCTGATTTATCACAGCTGCTCTCGTCTGATTTATTACAGCTGTGGCAGCAGCTAATATATCAATCTGTTTATTACTCTGAACACCACAATGTCCCAGACAACAACAACAAAAATCCATGGTATGCAAATTCGAAGGAAATGATGATTGGTTACATTTTACAGATAAAGTTTTCTACAGGTAAGGTAGCTTCTTCCACACATGAAATCATAATGGGAATCCTAACCCTTTCACTAGTGAAGACAAGATCTAGTACTGCCAATTGTGATACAATCCTGTAAATGCCATCATATCGACCTGCAGGGGCCTAATCTCGAAAAGCATAGTTAAATTCCAACGCATTTATGTGCGCCTGTGTAGTGATCAAAAGACCTGGATATAAACATAGTAATTATACAAAGTATTTAGAGGGGATTCTTTATGTCAAATTTTCATGTAAGCCTCAGTGTTAAAGGTCCCAGCACGAGTCCCCTGATAAATGTTTTTTAGGCCTCTTTTGAATGTATTTCATTTTATGTTTCCCTATTTTCATGTTTAATCAGTACCCCCTTTTAGATATCTTTATATATTTCACACACTCACACACAAAAGATGTAGATGCTTTAGGAAAAAAATTATGTATCAGTGACATCAGGGTAACCATGGAAATGAGGTGTCTGAGAAAGACTGTAGGAGTGACCAGAAGAGATAAAATAATAAAATCAGGAATGAGGTCATGCTAGATAAAGTCGGCACATAACCAATTCTAAATTACATACAAAGACAGCAAATCAAATGGTCTGCTCACTTGGAGAGAATGCCATCTGATGCTATACCATTCAAGACATATACCAAAAGAGGAGATGGACATAGAGCAAGATGGGAAGATAACAGAGAAACTCTACAGCACCACGATGTTTATCTATGGTCGAAGTAGCCAGAACAGCATGAAGCAGGACCTTATATCTCCCTTGACACCCGAAGGGGTAAAGGAGGATGTAAAGAAGAAGAAGAAGACATCAGGGTAGTGCCAAAGATTTTCCCGGTATGAAGCAAGACTTCGAAATGCAGCCCCTCAAAAGTTCAAACTGGATCTTGATTTTGCTGCTTTTGCTACCCCCTTAGAGTACCACTTAATGTGACGGATATCCTGTATCACAGTACCGCACAGCCCTGGGTGACCAATGTATGGACTGGTTTTCTTTAGAAATGCTTTCAGTAAATTTTCACGGGTCCACGGTCAGTTATTCAAGTATTCACTGGGCAAATGATTTTATTTAATTAAAAAAATAAAACAGTACTGAAATACAAGTGACTGCATTTTCTTCACTTGCTGTGTGTGAGACCTGTCCCTTCGTACAAATGCGGAAGCAGAGAGATAGCCACTCTCGCAATTTACTATTTAGTCATCAACAGAGCGGCATCTGCCTAGTGACACAGCTCTATAGTCCGGAAGGACTGAAACGAGGCCTACACTACTAAAATACACAGAAAACAAAAACTTTTTGGTAGAATTTTAGACCTCTGTTAAGGCATACATATATATGTGTGTGTATGGTGACCTTGCCACAGTTAAGTAATTTAGCTTTAAAGATTCAACTTGTGGCTAAGTAATTTTCTGGGGGTAGTTTGTAACTAATATATTTTGAAAATTAAATTAATATTTAAAGTAACATCTATCCAGTGTATTTCAAAAATATATTTAGGATTTCAGTATTATTTAAGAAAACATACAAATAAATTGATATAAAGTTATCAAAACTGTTTAAAATATGACAAGATTCACAACTAACTGTTAGGACATTATAAAGGGGAAAAGAAACACATTTTTTTTTCAGTACATAAAAAGTCCGGTTAAAAAACAATTAATATTTAAAAAACATGTCAGCATTATACAAGTTTATAATTTTTCCCTTTCTTAAAACCAGGCAAAGGGAATTAACCGAATTTATTGCGAAGCGTGTAACGGGACAAATTTGACCTCTTTTCACGCTGCATTCGCCTGCAAAATATGCACGTTTGGCTCATTTTTGAGCACTAAAATACTTCTGTGCGCACTATTTTACATTTATAGCATTTAAAAGGACATCAAAGCTGTATAAATTCGTATTATTTGTTAGAAATACTTACTTCCTCTTTGCATTCTATTCTTCCTTGTTCGAATGCAATGGCCACCTGTGGCTGCAAGCACAAACAACCAGTCGCAAAGTTCAGCAACTTCACAAAAGCGATTCAGAGCTGCAGCAGTGTCCAAATTAGTGAATTCGAAATCTGCACTTAAAACTGTCTCAGCAGCAGCTGCGGCGTTAGCAGAAACAAATGCACAATCGGTTACAAAGTCTTCGAAATCTCCTAGCGGTTGAGGCTGGGACGAAGTCGCTGACCTGACTGACTGAAGGGAAAGCCCTTGTGACGTCAGTGAAGATAGTGCACACGTTAGTAAGGTCCCTTAACGAGTCCCCTTCCCTCCCCTCGCTGTGTCCTCGATCCTACTTAATCCGCTGCTGCTTATTGATTACCGATTTAAGAGTCGTAGCACATCGGATTTAAACATAGATGCTCTGTCTTCTGTAGCAAATGTCTTTATAGATTATGACTGTTCCAGTAGCACAATAGTTGTACGCACGACCGATAGTCCCTTTTGGCCGTATCCACACTTAATAACGCCATTTAGAATGATTTCACAAATTAACAAATAATTAACAAATCCCGTTAAATTTTTCTGAAAAAATGGCTATAACTAATAACAATATTAATGTAAATAAAGACACCGTTTAAAGTCATTAGAAGTCACACCTGAGATAGCACTAACAAAGTTTGTTTTGTATAAGTTGCAAAGTCATTATATCTGTAATTTGATATGCCAGATGCCATACACTAATTGTGGGACAGTCGTAGTTGGAATATTCCCTCAAAAGTATGCAACATTGATCTCGTAACTATTTCTGCACCACACATTTAAATATTTATTGTCAAATAATAAAGTGGGAAATAATGGTTTGAAGAAGAGGGGATAAAGAAGTTTGGTGGTTAGATAGAACTGTGCCGGGGATAAATCTGGCGTCACGGTCACACAGCAAACGACAAGATGTAGGTTAGAGACACGGCATTATCATATGATCAAAACAAATTGTCACACTAGCAGGGATGTGTCACTGAACTCTTTGTCGTATCAACCGAGAATTCTGTCATACTGACACCGACTTTGACAAGGAGAGGTTTAATTTCTGGTTGTGCATTGATTCCTCGGAAATTTGCCATGGCGGCTGATACATCTACCAGTGTACAAGAAACGTATGAGAAACTATGGGTATCCGAGTTTTTCCATGATTTTCCTCATGTTGATTTCACTTTCAAAATTGTAAATTCAACTTTCGACCCTAACAGTGATGTATACAGACAGGTAATAAATACTATTTTATTTATATTTGTCTGAAATCCTAATTATGACAATAATTTTAAACTATTTTGTTACTGCGATTCTAAGTTGTTTTCTTTGGATTTCGACTGGCATAGAGGGTCATACATAGGCAATTGTGTTTCTTCACTACCTTTTGATTAATTTTGTAGATACCCGTTTAATTTAATAGGACCTTTCCTTCAACAATGGCCCTTCGAGTTATGGTGGTCTCATTTCATTTGTAAAAACCAAATATCTAAAACTAAATTACCTACATTTGAGGATTTCCTGGTTTTGTAAAGTGCTGTAAACAGTAGGCTCAGTTTCAGAAAGATACCTGTGTGGGTTCCTAGGCCCTGTTGTAGGGAAAACAAGAATAGACCCACTACCTACCCAAAAGCATGTCGTAAGAGTTGACTAATTGGGAGCTTCCTTCGAAGTTGCAGTGCATCTGCCTGAGGGGCAAGGAACCAGCAGTCTGCATACAGGTGAGTCAGATCTATATAATGGATGCACAAGTAACACTCAGGTTCTGGAACAGGACTGCAGTTCAGAAGTGAATGAACAACCATAACTTTTTGCCAGAGTTTATGGCTGGTGAACACGAAGAAAAAGAAGAAATTTAAGAAGTATATAATGAAATTGTTTAGTTTATATTTGTGTAACTCACTTACCAACTGTATGTGGAGTTTGTATGTGATTATGTGTGTATATAATAGTAATTAAGTAAGTAAATCTTACCCCACCAGGACATCACACAGAGCGATAAACACCTGGTGACACAAAGTGGCACTATGCGGATGAGGATCACCCATGGAGAGGTCCTGGAAACCACGTTAAACCATTAGGCTATATTGAGGCCCCTGGCAGCAGACTGGGCGGGGCTTCAAAATAACGAAAAATTGCATCTCACAAGGGGGGATGGCGGTGATGATTGATATAATAGTAATTAGTGACTATTTAGTTTGTGTCTAGGGAGTTGTGTGTGTGTGTGTGTAGATAAATAAAAATACATCTAATAACCCAGAATTTTTGTTACTAGATATTATTGATAAATATAAATACATAATTATAGTTTAAACACACACACACACACACACATATATATAGGGCTTTTTAGCACTTCTTCGAACGGCGACCTTACAGGGACACAGTCTACTGTTTGTTTACAGCAACCATAAGGGAGATGATCCATCATTTGTGTACATTCATGAAAGGATGTTCCTTAATATTTAATATTTGCTTCAGGTTTAAGTTTGGAATAGCCCTAACTCTAACCCTAAACCTAATATCAAACAATGTTAAATATGTCAGAATGTTATTATGTGAACTTACATAAACAATGGGTTATGTCCCCTATGGTCAGTAGTTAAGTAATGTGTCAAGTTACAATAGATTACGTCCCCCTAGGGTCGCCGCTCGAAGGAGTGATGACTTTTTTTTAAAATCTGTCGGTATGCAGTGATGCACAGTACCAGTGTATTTTTTTAGGCACAAATCAGCACTAAAATAACTGTCACTTTATAATGAGTTCTGGTACCTTTCTTAGACAAATTAAGGCTAAGCACTGGCAACACATATTTTTCCAGGAAAAAAAAAGCCCTGCATGTATGTGTGTTTATCTGTGGCTTGGAAGAAGGGGGGGGGGGGGGGGGGTGTGAACTCAGTTCGTAATTATAGACTACCCTATTCAGTTCAGGTGATCTGGCAGCAGAGACTGCTTTGAATTTATTTCAGCCAAGGTACATAACATCGACCAATCAGAAAAGATTGGCCGACTGCTGACTGAAAAATGTCCTACTAAGACCAGAAACAGCCAACAAATGCTAGAGTTGTTTTCCACCTTCCTGTAAAGAATATGCAGCTAACCAGGCGACTTTACTTTCCAGGACTTTACCTGGTACCCTTTTAAGGTTCGTTGGACATTGGAGCCAAGATCATTCTTGAAAAAAAAAAAAGTCTGGCTCTGTGAAGACCTGAACCTATGATCTTTGGATTCTCAATCGAACGTCTGGCTGCTACATGATGTCGACTTTGATACCCACACACGTATATATACACAGATATAAGGGCTCTTGAGCTGAAATGCTGTAGAAGAATTCTCAGAATACCATGAACAAAGAAGAGAAGAAATACTTATTTTTTAAAAGATCTGAACATGAAGGAAGACTGGCATCTTGTTCGGAAACCTAAATATTTTGGTCATATCAAGCACCATGGCAAATAGGAAAAAATAACAGCACAAGTTTTGGTACCAGGAAGAAGAGGCAGATGCTGACCAACATGAAGATGGGCACAGGATATAAGTGACTCCTTGAATAGGTAAGTGCATGAGACGGGAGAGCTGGCGAGTGACCGAGTTTCTTTCAGGCAAGCTGTGATGAGAGCGACGTTCTGCAAATTATATGCTACATAATGGTGATATACGTATATACATACACACACATATACACTTTATGATGGTGCCATTGTTCATTTAATCTTTTCATTTTTCAGTCATTGTTGTTCTGGGCGTTGGTTCCGGTAGCGATCTGCTTTTTACTGTGGCTGGTGTTTTTGATCTACTTCATATTCCGATGCTGTCAGGGGAACAGGAAGTCGAAAGGACGGCCTTCGGTGTGCCAGGGACTTGCTGACCGGACTTCTTATTTTCATTGGCTTGTAAGTATAGTCTTGTGTTCACATTTTGTCCAATGATAATTAAGTAAGTTACTTAGGATAAACTACTGTAGGTACTGCTGTATGGATCGGAAACCTGGGGAACAGCAACGCATAAACTACATTCATCGTCATCATCATAAACCACTTTTGCCGTTGAGCATCGTTGGGAGGAATAATTTGCGATCCAGTGCACGCTGGCTGCCACTGGCTATTGTCATGCTGTGAAGGCGTAGAGTGTCTTTAATGTTGTCAATCTATATTTTCCGCGCCATCCTCTTGCTGTTGTAGCTGACCTTCTGAGATGTAGTGCTTGTGATGGTATCTGATCTTGCTGCATTCTAACGAGATGGCCAAACCACTTGATCTGCTGTTTCTCGATGAATTTAGTACAAAGTGTCGTTCCCACAATTTGCCTAATAGTTTCATTATTCACTTAATCTCCGATGGTTAGGTTACACATTTGTGCCAGAACTGAATGGTGGGATGTGCAGAGAGGATAATCTGCCAACTAACTAACTAACTAACTTTGCAGGACAGAACAGATACAATATAAAAGAATAACCAAAGATTGCAGGAGATAGTATAAGAATGCAGAGAATATGTGTCAGATTGTGGAAGATAAATATAAAATTGCACATGGTACTTATAACACTACAATGGATGCATATAAGAAATTAGGAGATAAATATGATTATATGCAAAAGATACTCAATTGAAAGACCAAATGGACGAACAACCTAAACTTTGCACCAGAATTCACACCCAGTGAATAGAAAAATACTAAATTGTAAGGGATGCATAGAAGAAGACACATTATAAAAATAAGAATCCAGAGTGTGTAATTTGAAGAATACACTTTATAAAAATAAGATTCCAGAGTGTGTAATTTCATGAATATTTACAAAATAAATATATGACGTATTCTGTGCCGTTTTTCTTTAGGGGTCTAGTTGGATTTGGGTTTTACGAGAATGAAAATGCACATCATGGAATTGAGGATGTTAAAGATTCCAGAGATGATGTGAATGATGTCTTGCAGTCTGCATCAAACAGGGTGAGTATTTCTGCGACAGCTCCACGGGGAGCATAGGATTAGAAAAATAGTTGCAAAAGGACCTGCCCCATGGTGGTGTTTCAGTTGTATTGTTCTTCTTCAGACCCACTGCATCTCCAACAAGCATGTCATAAGAGTCAACTAATTGCTGGTTTAATTCAAAGTTGGAGTACATCTGACTGAGAGGCAAGGAACCAGCAGTCTGCATACAAATAAGTCAGGTCTGTAAAATGGAAGTGCACACAACACTCAGGTTCTGGAGCCAGACTAAAGTTCAGAGATGGAAAAGAAACCAGAACTTTCTGACAGAGTTTACAGTCAGTTAACATGAAGAGAAGAAGAAAAGTAATTGAGTTCTTTAAAACTGGTGCGCATGCAAAACTCTTAGATTTGAAACAAGATCAAAGTCCGTAAGTGGATGGAATACTAGGACTTTGTCGCCAACTTTTACAGCCTGTGAATGGGGAGAAGAAGCAGAGTATGTGCTGTTTTATCCTTCTGCATACCAATCTGCAGGGGAACAAACCTGCCAGAAGATGGGTAATTCATCATCATCATGTAGCAGGTCCTTTGCAGAACATCGCTCTCATCACAGTCTGCCTGTAAGAAACTCGGTCTCTTGCCAGTTCTCCCGCCTCATGAACTTTCACACTCAAGGAGTCATATCCTGTGCCCATCTTCGTGTCGGTCAGCCTCTGCCCCTCCTTCCTGGTACCATGCCTTCTGCTGTAATTTTTTTCAATCACAACTACTCTTACTTGCTCTGCCATAGTTCTCTTCCCCAGTTCGCGTTTGTGATCTGCCTGGCCTGGGGGCCTCACCATCAGATCTTTGAGTTTCATTTTTGGCTTCCATGATGAGTTTCTTTTGATAGAAATGTGGTAGTTTCCTGTTGCTTTCCACATCCACATGGCTTTAGACCATGTCCTCAGCCTTCAGCAACCTTTTCGATTGCTAGGGCAAGTGAGTGCCCTGCTCTGTGATGCTCCTGCTAACAGCAGAGGGCACCCCAGAGGTGTCCACTTATCCCGGCAGATACTCGTTCCCCATAACTGCGTTGGCCACACCGCAGTGTGTTTTTGGGGTTTTCCCTTCACTGAGTCTTGAGACCAGAATGGCATTTCCCAAAACTCTCTAGTACTTTCAGAGGACAGTTGGGTAATTAGAGAAAATAATTATAAATTCTTCTGGAAAGAATCCAGAAGTATGGAGTGGGATTTACAGTCAAGAATTCACTGTTGGGATCAGTTGAGAGTCCAGCTGGGGAAATAATATTCTTCGACCTCTACTGTCATATAAAAATGTATGCAAACAGGACATGAATGATATAGGTATTGAGGTCGACTCGTGGGAACAAAATGCCATGGACCATGTCATGTGGAGGGGGCGCGTCAGGATGAGAATGACAATGAAGGAAGAAGGGATTGCAGAAAGGATGAGAGCTGAGTGTCTGAGAAGACTAAACAGATTAAACACAAATGTTGACAACAACGGTCCCTGAATCCCATGCTATAGTTGTGAAAGAATTTGTCTTAACGCAGGCAGCTCTTGCTAGCCACACTCACCATTGCCATGGGCTGTGAGTCCCATGCCTCCTCAAAGCGCAGTATAACACTTTTGTCTGGAAAGATTGAAAGGAGCCAATCAGTCTTGCCATTCTTTATCTGTGTTTTTGTTTCTCTTTGGAACATAGACTGTGTGTCATTACACAACAAGCTTTCTTTTGCTATTTCCCACAGCTTGTTGCATGTCCTGCCTCTGTTAATCATTCATGTCTCTAACTCTCCTCACCATAAGCTTTAGGTCTCCATCTATCTCTTTTTCTTTGTGGGTTTCAATGCAGGGTCGTTCTAGTTATTATACTGTTATTCTATTTTTCTCAGTGTTTGTCTTTTCCATACCGCATCTTTTCCTCACATCTTGATTTTCTGGAATTGTGGTTCTCTGCACTTGCACTAGTTAATGAACATTATTTTTTACTAATAAGTCAACATCTTGAAATCATTCTTGATATGATAACATTTTTAAAATTCTCTTCCTGCCAGATTGACACTCTCAAAATCCTCGCAGATGATGTTTTATCAGTGCTGTCTGGTTCCCTGGAAACGGCAGCAAATAACATCACCAATGCTTCAGTCCGAGCCTTGGCTGTTAGGTTGATCAGTGACATTCGGCAGAAAACTTACGATGCTAGAGGTTACCTAGACAAGGTCAGGGTAGAAGAGGCTCGTGATAGCAGCCTCGATACCATCTTTGACTATGAATACTTCAGGTTCGTTTATATGCCAGATTGCATTAGCGGTGTTCTCCATAGGGATTCTGAAGCCCATTGGTGTGGGGGGGGGGGGGGGGGGGGGCTGACAAATATGTTTGTCATAAACGGCGACTAATACTATGGATGTTTCTAAAATCTGATGTGTTGGGTAAAGGGTGCAGATATTGGAGCCTATCTGTAAATCAGACCAAAGTGTGCCTACTGCGTTTTTAGGGATGAATGAAGAAGAAGAAGATCCTGTAGTTATGAATATAATTTGTCCCTTTGTATGTTCCAGAGTCCCATTGTGAGGGGAAAACAAGAATAGACCCACTGCCTCCTTAAAAGCATGTCATAAGAGTCGACTAATTGGAATCTACCTTTGGAGTTGGAGTGCATCTGCCTGAGAAGCAAGGAACCAACTCGGATACAAATGAGTCAGACTTGTAAAATGGATATGTACGCAACACTTAGCTTCTTGAACAGGACTAAAGTCCATGAGTGGGTGAGCAACCAGAGCTTATCTGCTGGACTTTAGAGCTGGTGGACACGGAGAAGAAAAAGAATATAATTTGTCCTTTCCAGCATAACCTACCTTTCATTTATATGCAGTTGATTTTGTTTGATAACTCCCTGTATAGTTCTAGAGCCCAATTTTGTGGAAACAACAGAATAGACACACTGTTCTATTTCACTCTTTCTCCTAGATTTAAAAAAAAAGAAAACAGAGAAAATCCCATGTGAGTTTTGGGCCCCTTTATGGGAGAGGGAAGAACAAAAATAGACCCACTGTTATATCTCACTCTTTCTCCTACATCACAAAAAAATAGAATTCAGAGATCTTCCCATGTGAGTTTTGGGGCCCCATTATGTGGGAAAACAAGAACAGACCCACTGTTCTTCTAACAAGCATGTCATAAAAGATGTCCTGATCGTGGGTTTTCGTTCGAAGTTGGAGTGCATCTGCCTTTTTGGGGAGGAACTCTGTCTGCATATAAATAAGGCAGATCTGTAAAATGGATATGTACACCAAACTCAGCTTCCGCTACAAGACTTAAAAGTCCACTTTTTCTTAACAAACATATATTGTAATTTTTCACTAATGAAGGATTTGCCGAAATTAGATGTGTTGGGCTGGAAAGCGCAGATATTACAGCCTAGCTGGAAAGAACAGTCGCAGAAGGCTGGTGCTAGGAAAAAGGGACAGGAGCCGACCAGCATGAAGATTGGCACAGGATATAAGGGACACCTTGAGTAGGTGGGTTCACAAGGCAGGAGATCTGGCAAAGAGACATAGTTTCTTTCAAGCAGCCTGTGATGAGAGCCATGTTAAGTAAAAGACATGATGATGATGATTTGGTGAGTCAGTTGTAAAAGAAATAATGATGTTGATTTGTAATATTTTCACAGATGGATGATTACTATTGTGATATTCTGCTTGTACATATTTATACTTCTGCTCTCACTGGTCGGGCTGTTGCTGAGGTCAAAGGGCACACTAATAACGTAAGTATCTTTAGAAGAAAAGGTTCTCTGTTTATATTGTGTGTACTGCTTAAAATGGTTGGGCAGTATGAAATTATTAAATCCAGTGAGTTGAGTTAGTCTTATAAGTCTTTGATAAGACAAGACCAGCTCTAGCTGACGGGCCATGCTGCTGACATCACCAAACCGGGCTAACAGTACGTTAACCCTGCTATTCTCAAACTGGGTGGAACGAGCGTATGTCAGGGTTGCCGCAGCAATAATCAAGAATTTATCAAAATCTGCTTGACATAAATTTGCACTGTTTTTTCTTTCTTTCTTTTCTTAAGTATTCAAACCGCTTTAAAGTAGGTGTGCCACAAAATTAATTTGTTTGCCCAACGAAGACAAGTTTGAGAAATGCTGCGTTAACATATCATTAGCCCAGTTTGGTGAGTTCAGCATGGCCCGTCAGGTAGAGCCGGTATTGGATAAGACCAGGTGTCCTATGTCGCTCTGACACCTGGTGTACAGCTAAAAGAAATGAAGCCTTATTACAAAGTTTCGAGACAAGTCTTACAATGAATATTTGGAGCCCGGAAAGCCAAGGTGGCGTCAGATTTTTCCCATAAGCCTCAGTGGTAGAGGTCATAGGGTCACTGCATGAGTCACCCGATATCTGTGAGATTTTTAGACCCTGGGGGATATATTTCGTGCAGTACTTCCCTCTTTTTATGTTTATTGATTACTCCCTTCATATATCTTTAATAGGTGGCAGCGTTCATTCGCGAGTGCAATTTTCACAGCGACCCCTGGGCATTGTCGCTGGAGCTATGGAGGTTGTGCTCTGTGCAACACTCTCAGCAGGCAGCTAGCTGTTCTGCAGAGAGAGACTGAGCCATATGGGATAAAACTCGGTGCAATGAAGTTGATTCTCTCACTTTAACTTTTACCTTTATATATTTAGAAAGACAATATTATATTATTTTTTTAAATTAAATTTATTAGTGTCAGGGTGAAAAAAAAATCCGCACATTTTTTAAAAATGAAATTCCAACATTCCCTTTTATTTTAAAGTGTTACCGTGGGACAAGAGGATTAGATTTGTACCATGAACAGCCAAATGGGGAATGTGCTAAACTGGTATTGTGTTAAAGAAAATCATCTATGAAATATAGTGCTCTTAAACAGAGCCAGTTCTGTCATAGTTTTCTTTCTGCATCTTGCAGGTCTGCAGCTGTTGCAGTTGTCTGCAGTCTGTTCATCTGGCTAGCTACTGGTGTATATACTGGTTTATCTGTGGTAAGTTGAACAACATATGATATAATATGTTGCAGCGTCTTCTGCCATAAACAGGCAGCTGGTGGAAACCGTTGATTGAAAACATTGTTTTTAATGTGGAGCCGTCGTGGTGTAACAGCTAAACGCTCGCCTGCGGATCCCAATGTCGTGGGTTCAAGTCCTGGCGGATCCAGACTACTTTTTTCAAAAATGACCCTGGCTGCCAGGTCAACCCAGTCTTAAATGGCTACCAGGTAGAGTCTTTGGAAGTAAAGGCGGCCGGTGTGCTGTTGACCACATCACCCACCGAGTGCTGATTGGCCTATAAAACACAGGCCCAGGCTCGTATGCCCAATATGCCTGAAGACATCTAAAAGGGTCCTGTACTTAATTTTGTTTACAATGTTTTCATGTTGTGCATTTCAATAATGCTGACACAGGCAGTATATTTGACAATGTATTGCTTGGCGTATTGTGCCGTCTCTCATCAGATACATATACTGGCTGGTTCTGCACCACTGGTTGGTGAATTGATGCATGACAAGGCAGATGTGGTCACAGCCCTTTGGGAACAAGTAAGGGAGTCGGTAGAGAAAGAAGATTATGGCCTGGAGAGAATGAGGCACCTGGGTGTAACCAGAGGGTCTGGCTGGCTCACTACACTCAGAGGAAAGGCAAGACAGACATATAAACAGATTGTGACCGGTACCATCAGTATTGGAACTCTGTGCTGCCTGCTGGAGATGAGGATGGAGCATGCATGGGAATGCCCGGAGTGCTGTAATGTCAATTCTTGACTCAATTCATCAGATACATTATTAGAGTTACATCAGCACAGAGCATAATCCTTTCCATTAAGTTACACATAGTCTCTTGTTGCACTGTACATTTCACCAACAGAAGTTCTTTTTTTTTGCGTTTGGTTTCAAATGCTCAGATCAGGCCATCAGGTGGGTTGCCTCTTTAAACTTATATGTCAGTAGCAGGTCCTTCATGGTTCCACAGATCTTGCTCTGCACACTTTGCTCTTGAGGGCAGGTCAACAGAAGTTCAAGAGTAACCCTTAGCAATTACCACAGAAGTCTAAGGTTAACTACATGATCGCATGAACAAGAGGTGGTCCTTTTAATCTTGGGAGAAGCAAAAAACCAGCTATGGCATGTTATCATACGTTACATAACAAGTAACATGCCTCATTATAAGGTGCCTAGCCAGAGCTCTCTAAATATCCTGAGGCGGAAAGATAATTAGATGCAAACATTGAGAAAATAATTTAATATCCAGCAGCTGTCGTAGTTCTCACCTGAAATTATTCTGCAGGCTGCAGGGGACTTGTGCATGGATCCGGATACCTACTTCATCCGTATTGCTCATGGTTCCACTGCCGAAGGTGAGTAGATTGGGCATCAGCTTGTCTCTGCCAATATGAATCTTATTGCTTGTATGAAGTTTATTTCTTGCTGTTTCTGTTCTTTTTCCCCCCCCAGATTAAAACACGAGAGAACATTGTTTCATGTATCTCTCTCTCTTCCCAACCCTCTCCCTTTGTCTGTCTCTCTATGACTTCTGTCACTCCTACAGTGCACTCACACCCCTCCAACCAACCCAGAGGATATGATATCCATCTCTGGCACAAGCAAATCTGGTTCAGTTTATTGCATTGACTGTTGACTTTTCCCAACAGCAACAAAGTATAGACTCTACCCTAATCTTGGGGCAGTGGGTTGGACATCTAACTTATGTTTTAGGCGAGGAAAATAAAAAACCAGTTAGCAGGAGGACCAATTAGTACATTATACATATGTAGGGGAGAAAATCCTCTGGCATTTCTGGGTATTTGGGGAGTTAAGGAGATAAGGAACTGGTAATCTCCCCTTTTATTAAATTCTAGCCATAATATAAGGGGAAATTACCAGTTCCTTATATTATGGCTAGAATTTGAGGAGGACTTGTCTGCTGATGGTATTAGAGTGGCAGTACCGCCTATCTGGTGTACCCTGTGTGTCATAGTGGTTATTTTACTTACCTATGGAGCCAGTGGTCTTGGTTTAACTCCCCAAAATAATAAATGATATAATTTTTCCCCCAGTCAGTATGGGTACCAGTTTTCCAGAATATTCTGGGAATGGTCAGGAAGGAGAAGCAACGCGAAAGGGAACTAGCCTGACAGAGCATTCCAAACCTTTCTTGCTGCTGACACGCTTTTTAGAGACATGCATAGTTTTGTGAGCACACAAATTTAGCCTCCTAGTAAAGCCAGAGGTTAAGCTAACCCTTATAAGAGTATGCACCCATACATGAATTGTAATAACAAAATGTTTCAGGGTGCAACCTATCTCATGAAAACCTTTCATTGATATTAAAAGTATTTATTTCATGATTAATCTTCTTTTTCTTCTTTTTTTCTTGACTCCTGGGATACTCCTATGTGTCAGGGCAGGAAGAGATCTGTGGAACAGTTTTATCATTGGTAATTTTGCGCGGCACACCTTTACACTGCAGTCTAGACACTCGTGTGTCAGGACACACAGTTTGGAAAGCTCTGGCCTAACATTCGGCATCCCTCGGCAATGTCAGCTATAGGACTACCTGTGACCTGATGTACTGACATGGATTATGATGATGGGGTGGATCCGAAGACACTGACTGGTATCTCTGAGGCGATAGGGACTGATAAAAGTAAAGTTTCATTTTTGTGCCAGGACATTGCAGGCGCTCAGGGAAATGAGCATGCTGATAGACTTGCAGGTAAAGCTACTACAAAGGGTGGACAAGCCAGGAACCGGGCTGATATACGGAATGTAAGACATTTGCAAGTGACTGAATCTGCTACCATGACCAAACTGCAAAAACAGCGAGTTTAAAGGTGTGTGGCCAGACATGAGTACTGTGCAGGAAGCTAAAGTGAATAAGAAACCAACACAGAACTAGTGTCCTCAAACTCTTCACCCTGCAGGATTTACTAAAGAAGGGTTCCGAGCACTTATGGACTGAATGGTTTGATGTGCAATGAGAAGAATCTGTCGACTGACTGTACTAACATGATATTTCATATTTACAGTGGCTGTGACTGCATACATCAGATGCACCGACCCAAATCAGCCCTATAAACAGGTTTGTGCTAGTGACTGTGGGGATGTGTGGGCTGTTTTTGTGTTACTAGAAATCTAAATATTGATCACATGGAAATCTAAACATTGCATTGAATTATTGTATTTTAAAAATCACATGAAAATCTAAGCATTGCATTGGAGTTATTGTTTCCTTAAAAATCACATGGAAATCTAAACATTGCATTGTAATTACTATTTCTTCAATAACATAAACATTTCTTAAGATTGCTTTGTAGTTACTGTTAATTGAAACCTTACAGAAATCTTAACATTGCTTTATGATTACTGCTTCTTTAGAGCCAGGAATTATGTCCATGAAAGTATGGTCATTATGTCCATGAAAATATGGGAATGATGTCTATGAAAGTATGTGAATTATATCCTTGAAAGTATGAGAATTATGACCATGAAAATATGGAAATTGTGTCCGTGAAAGTATGGGAATTATATCCATGAAAGTATGAGAATTATGTCCATGAAAGTATAGGAATTATGTCCATAAAAATATGACTCTTATGTTAATGAAAATGTGAGACTTATGGCAGTGAAAATAGGAGAACTGTCAATGAATGTTTGATAATTATGTCTTGAAAACATGAAAATAGTGTTAATGACAGTATGAGAATTATTTCAATGAAAACCTGAAATGATATAAATGAAAGAATCTGAATAGTATCCTTGAAAGTAAATAAACTTCAGTTGACAATAAATACTCAAGCTAACAAGAATGCTGTGAACAGAAGAATACCAATACACATTTATAATAGCTTTCAGCTGTGTCTGTTTGATGATGTTTTGCAGATAATAGACAATGCCACAGCAGCTGTAACACAGGCTGGAGTCTCCCTTAATGAAACTGTCAGATTGGCACGCCCCTACAATATTTCTGGGGTAAGTTTTATTTTTCCATGTAATATCTGTCATTTAGTGTGGGTTATAGAGCAATCCACTACCACTTGACAAGTCTGTTGTAATAAATTACTAATTAAGGGTAGATGAATTTGCTGAAAGGTGCAGATATCGCAACCTAGCTGTAAACCACAGCATAATGTGCCAGCTACCCTTTTAGAGTGAATGCAGGTGATGAAAATTGTGTGTGTATATAAAACAAGTTTTTTAGGACATGGTGGTCAGTCTCTGGCCAACCTTCCTTAGCTGCCTCATGTGGGATGCAGTGTTACTGTTATTTATTTCATGCTTCCTAGTACTTTGACGTTGGCATATGTGGCTTAGGCGTTGTGATTGCGCTTTGTAATGCCAGGGTATCGGGTTCGATCTCTACTACGGACGATTTGTCTTGCGCTGGTTTCGATAGTGGTACCGAGAGCTGACCGTTCATTAAGCAGTGGCAAACTACTGAACGTAAAATTTGCCTGGAAAAACCACAACAGCCAATAAATGCTGGGGTTTGAGATGTAACGTCCTGTAAAGGATAGGCAACAACTAACTACTACTTTGACGCTGGTCATAATTTTCCTATTTTGATTACAAAAAATAATCTGCTATAATGGCTGAATTTTAAAAAAGGGGGTTAAAAAACCCTTTTTCATGCCTTTGATGCATTTGGCATAAGGACCTTTGAGCTGAATTGCTATAGAGAGATTCTCAGAATACCATGGACAAAGAAGATAAGAAATACTGACGTTTTGTAAGATCCGAACATCGGGGAATATTGGCTAATAAACAGCGTCTTGTCTCGGAAGCTGAAATATCTTGATCATATCCACCATGGCGGATAGGAAACAAATGATAGCAGAAAGCATGGTATCAGGAAGGAGGGGCAGGGGCCGACCAGCAAGAAGATGGGTACAGGATATAAGTGAATCTTGAAAATGAAAGTGCACTAGGTGGGAGAGCTGGCAGAGACCAAGTTTCTTTCAGGCAGAATGTGATGATAGTGACTTTCTGCAGAGGACCTACTACAGGCCATTCAGAACTCTTTGCCTTCCTCTTGCTCTCTGTGCACCAGTCTTGCCAGTTTATACCAAGTTCTCGAGTCCACACCAAAAAAAACCATCTCCATCTGATGGTTCTGATTAGTCTACGACTTTTATCTGTCTCGATGACTGCCTCAGTTGCTTTTTTATCATTCCCCTCATATTGGCTGCATTCTTCTAAAAAAAAAAACATCTCCACTGCAGGTGAATAATTTTCAGCGTGTCTTGTTATTGTCTGTGTCCCACATGCATATACAACAGGTTCTTTACAGCAGTTTACAAGTTTGTTTTTTCACCCTTTTTGGTGAGTGTCTCTTGCAGCTTGCTATTGGCCACTTTTGCCATGGCGATTCTTGTCTGTACCACTGCGGCTGCCATTTTAACCTGCTCACAGGCAATAGTAACTGGCTACTGCTGTGGTTGGGAGCCGCCGTGGTGTAGCAGCTAGATGCTTGTCTGTATATCTGAAGGTGGTGGGTTCCAGAACTTTCTGCCGGAGTTTACAGCCGGTGAACATGAAGAAGAAAGACTTCTCAGGGCTCTACCTGGTTCCCGTTTTAGGGTCGGTCAGTTTGGTAGCCACAGTCATAATATGCCTAGTAACAGAGAGTAGTTTGTCTTGTTAGGATAACGGTCAGTTAGTGTATTGTTTGGACATTTCAGCTGGACAAGCCTGTGGCAGATGTGAACTCAGACCTACTGTATGCCAGGGGGAACCTCTCTGACTTAATGGCCACTGTGGGCACTTGCGAGACATTGCATCACTATTACATCAGTGGGGTGGAGAGTGCCTGCACCGATACTATGTGAGTAGTTCCTGGATATGCTTGTTTTGTTTGAGCAGATCGTCATCATACATTTGTGTTTTGGGAGTAATCTTGGTAATCTTAGTTTCAGTGGGGTTCATCATCTTTGCATCCCAACCCCTTGACAACTCCACTTTCTTATGTTTGTTGTTTGGCTAAAACCAACTTGCCTCTACCATCCAATGTCTGTCGCCTTCGTGCTGATCAACTCCTGCCTCTTCCAGGAACTGGTCTTCCATTATTGATCTTTCTGAATCACTGCAGCAATTCATAGGAACAGAGTAATTCTTCTTCCTAATGTTCACTGGCTGTAAACTCCGGCAGAAAGTTCTAGTTGTTCATCACCTTCTAGACTTTCGTCTTGTTCCAGAACTTGAGCTTTGCATGCACATCAGTTTTACAGATTTTGCTTACTTGTGTGCAGACTGCTGGTTCCTTGTCTGTCAGGCAGATGCAGTCTGACTTTGAATGAAACCAAAGAAATTCATGGCTGAAGGCAAACATAATTAAAGTAAAGGATTATTTAGCCTATAAACCAGTGATTCCCAAACTGTGCACACCGGTGAGCCATGACCCCTGCACAGGGACCCCGCGAAATATTCGGAGATACATTTTTTTTTTAATCTCTTACATATGAATAGTCATGCTTTAAGTTAGGACGTCATGGACAAATTGTAATTAAAAAAGGGCGCTGCGACTAAGAAAAGTTTAGGAAACACTGCTAGAAACTGTCATTACTGCCTACATGTACTACTTTACATGTCAGTGTGTGGGACAAGGCTTCTGGGCCTGAGGGTTTAGGATCCTTGATTTTCGTAGTCACAATGGTCTGTGCAGGTTAGGTTTTTATTTTTTGCCCCAACAGAAAAAAAGTCTACGCCTTACCGATGATTGCAACTTAGGTCACTTGAATGAGGGTACATTGTTCTTAACCATTCGGCCAGCCGCTGCTTGGTTTACAAATTTAGGTAGCAGATGAGATAGCCAGAGAACCACAAATGAAGCATGAGACACACTGGCAAAATCAATTAAATGTCTTGTTTGATGATCTCTGCAGCTCTGCCACAGCTCTCCTTGCTGTGGTGTGCTGTTTGGTGGCAACCCTGTGCACTGTCATCATCTTCTGCATCTCCTGTCTGTGGAGGCAGTATGCTAAAAAGAGGTGAGTCACTGTTGTGTGCTGGAAGAATTCTCTTTCTGTCTTGTCAGATCAATCCTGGATTAATACTGTCTTTTGGAAATTTGCTCCATGGTATGCAGGTGTGTTAGAAAATGAACAGGCAGACAGATTGGCTGGTTCTGTACCACCTGTTGTAAATTGGGGCATGACAAGCTAGGTGTAATCAAGGCCCTTTGGGAATGAATCAATAGTGCAGGTGGACAAATGGATCATCACAAGTCTGAAGAGCATGGTACAGCAGGAAGAGACCATGGCTTGTGGCCAGCACTCAGAGGAAAGGCCAGACGGACATATACTCAAACTGCTGCTAGTGTCATTAAAAATGGAACTTTGTACTGGCTGCTGAAGAGGGGGACAGTGCTTTTGGTAATTTTTCCAAGTGCTGTGATCTAATCTGTGTTCTCCCCGTGTGGGTTCCGGGGCCCCATTGTGGGGAAAACAAGAATAGACTCACTGCCTCCCCAAAAGCATGTCGTAAGAGTCGACTAATTGGGGAGCTTCCTTTGAAGTCGGAGTGCATCTGCCGGAGAGGCAAGGAACCGACAGTCTGTATTCAAGAGAATGAGATCTGTAAAACTGATGCACACGCAACACTCAGGTTCTGGAGCAGGACTGCAGTTCAGTAGTGGACGAGCAACCAGAACCTTCCGCCAGAGTGTACAGCTGGTGAACGGGAAGAAGAAGAAGAAGAAGTAATCTGTGTTCCATAATCTGCTGGGTGGAATCTCCACCACCTTTCCGACTAGGATAGTCCCAGGCAACATAAACTGTGTGCTGAAGAAGTACAAAGAATTGTAAGACTGCACCAGACCAGGCATTTGTAGAAGGCAAATAGTTAAGTTGACAAGCAACATCACAGCACTCTGAGCACTCTCATAAATGTTCTGTCCTCATCTTCACTAGCCAACAAAGTTCCAGAACCAGAGGTGCCAGATGCAGTCTGATTACATCTCCATTTTGCCTTTCCTCTGGGTTTTGAGTTTGGCGAGATTCTCAGTTCACTTTGTGTTCCATCACTCTTTCCAGACCATAATAATCTTTTTGCTCTTTCACATGTTTCACCTACTTCTAAAGGGCCTTGGCCATTTCTGCATTGTCATACATCAGTTTACCTCCAGTGGTGCAATACTAGCCATTTGTCTACCTTATGATTTCCCAAACATCAGCTTGACCTGGGGGGGGGGTGCAAAATATGCCTACTACCCAAACTCCATAGCGATGCTTCTGTTTCAGGTAAATCATTATGTGTGTGTACAGTTTGTATTTCCAGCCAGTGGGTTGTATGGTAATGATAATAGTAATATGTATTGTATAATTACATTTATACAGTAGCCCAAGGTCGGCATCTGTGGTTTAAGCGTTGCGTATGCTCTTTGTAATGCTGGGATGCAGGGTTCAAACCCAGCTGTGGGCCTTGCGCCTTGCATTGGTTTTGACAGTGGTATTGAGAAGCAGACCATCCAGAAAGCACTGGCAAACTACTGGATGTATATTTATTTGCCTAGAAAAAAAAAAAGAAAAAAAAATGATGTGGTTGGTTCTGTAACTAACTTTTTAACTAGGGAAATGCATTCCAGAAATAAGAGAAATGTCTGGACAACTGCTTGTATAAACAGTTATAAGAGAAAGAGGATGGCAGTAGATTAGGCACAGCATAAGGAGAAGTGGTCAGAGATGGACAAAACATGCACTGAAATAGGAAACAGATGCACTGAGAAAACAAGAACATCAAAGAGACACCCTAAGACAAATATTGTTCATAAAGGCCAGGTACTAATTTGTGATATCGAATGGATTGTACAGGATAGAATGGATTGGACAAGATTATAATCCTTATGTGGCCTGTAACTGCCCAACAGGAAGATGATCATCAGTTACATTTATAAAGTTGTGAAACATGAAACTAAACTTTTTTACAGTTTTATGAAGTTGTGGTCGGTGCTCTGTGATACACGTTCATTTCCCCAGTTGACTAGGATTAGTTGAGTTGCTTATTATTCTTCCTCTTCTTCTTCTTCATGTTTGTCGGCTGTAAACTCTGATGGAAAGTTCTAGATGTTCATCCACTTCTGGACTCTAGTCCAGTTCCAGAACCTGAGGTGTAAATCTTTTTTACAGATCTGACTCAGTGTATATCCGTTTTACATATCTGACTCATGTGTATATCCGTTTTACAGATCTGACTCATTTGTATGCAGACTTTTGGTTGCTTGCCTTTCAGACAGGTGCACTCTGATTTCGAATGAAGCTGCCAGTTCGTTGACTCTTACAAAATGCTTTTGGGTAACCAGTGGGTCTGTTCTTGTTTTCCTCTCAGTGGAGCCCCAGTACCCCATACAGGAAGTTTGATATTCACTATTGGGTGCTGTGTGTGGCTGTACTGACCACGCTACAGACTGTGTATGTCGAAGGTCACTGTCTTCATTATCTACACTTCTGGACTACCCGTAGCAGGGGTGTTGCCGTCAGAGTGGGCCTCATTTTGGCAGAACAAAAAAATTACACTCACTGCCCACAGAAAGCATGCATAAAAGGTGATTAATTAGGAGTTTGCAAAAATCTTATGTGTTGGGCCTAGAGGCACAGATATCATGGCCTAACTGTAAACCGAACTTCAACATGCCAACTTCTTTTTCGTCCAAAGGTGAGCTTAGAAGACTTCCAAGTATGCAGCCAATCATGGTGCTGGGAGTAAGGGAAGAGAGCTGAGACGATGCTGAGTCAACGTCTGTAATTATATCAATATATAACTTCCACAGGCTGCAGTCTGAATACATCAATGTAGATGATAAAGATCCATTTCTGCCACGGCCACCTCCTTACGAAACTGACTATGGGACAATGGGGCAGTCAGGTCCTCAGCCGTGGACAGGGAGAGTCTCGTTACAACACCCCAAGTGAGTACGGGCAATTTGACGTACAGGTGTTAGTCCTTTCTGTTGTTGTCAGTGTGCATCATCGATTGTGTTAACATATTGAAACATCCAGTTTTAATTTGTTACAACTTTGATGTTTTTTCACATATTAAAATGCTTGTGGTGTTCACATACAACATGCTCCATTATGTTCGTATGATGCATCATCTGTTGAGTTTACCATTACAGAGTGGAGCAGCCTATGTTGTTCACATGTTGCATCATCTGTTGAGTTCACATCACAAAGTGAGGCAGCCCATGGTGTTCGCATGTTGCATCGTCTGTTGAGTTCACATTACAGAGTAAAGCAGCCTATGGTGTTCACGTGTTGCATCGTCTGCTGAGTTCACTTTACAGAGTAAAGCAGCCTATGGTGTTCACATCTTGCATCATCTGTTTAGTTCACATGCTTGATTTGGACATAGGCTGAGTAAGCTAGACCTTATTTCTGTTAATAATAATTAAACAGCTGCATATCTCCATTTTCCATAATTTGAGGTTTTGAACAACTGATCAACATCATGGCACCCGGGTGTAACCCATAAGTGCTCCGTTCTTCTTCTAACTCAAGTCTGAGTCTGAAGAAGCTCAGCACAGTGCACAGGCTATGTAGCACCGGCGAGGATCCTTAAATACTTTGGTAGATTTTTAACTTCAAATTTTGCCCTCGCAGTGCGGTTTAGCCACTCTTTTCGATTGCCAACTGCCATAGGATTGTTTTCTGTGCGCAACAATGCACACGGCTCACTACCTGGAGACCAACGGGAATTACTAGAATTCCAAGTACAAGTGAAAAGATCCCAGCCCTTACCAAGGATTGAACACGGAATCTCTAGTACTTGAGGCGGACACCATGCTTAGTTGGTGTCGTTTAAAATAGTAGAGGCCTCAGGGCTTTATTTAGCTTATGACCTCGTCAACTCTAAATCTGGCACTGGATCCATGATGTTCACATATTACATCATCTGTGATGCTCACATGTTGCATCATCTGTGATGTTCACATATTACATCATCTGTGCTGTTCACATATTGCACCATCTGTAATGTTCACATATTGCACCATCTGTAATGTTCACATATTGCACCATCTGTAATGTTCACATATTGCACCATCTGTAATGTTCACATATTGCATCATCTGTAATGTTCACATATTGCATCATCTGTAATGTTCACATATTGCACCATCTGTAATGTTCACATATTGCATCATCTGTGATGTTCACATGCTGCATCATCTGTGGTGTTCACATGTTGCATCATCTGTGATGTTCACATGTTGCATCATATGTGGTGTTCACATGTTGCATAATCTGTGGTGTTCACATGTTGCATCATCTGTGGTGTTCACGTGCTCTGTCATCTGTGATGTTCACATGTTGCATCATCTGTGATGTTCACATGTTGCATCATCTTTGATGTTCACATGTTGCATCATCTGTGATGTTCACATGTTGCATCATCTGTGATATTCACATGTTGCATCATCTGTGGTGTTCACATCTTGCATCATCTGTGGTATTCACGTGCTACACCATCTTTGATGTTCACATGTTGCATCATCTGTGGTATTCACGTGCTGCATCATCCATGGTGCTCACATATGACTAGATGTTTGTATGTGTTCACAGCGGCAGCAGCAGCAGTGATGACCAGGTGATGACACTCATATATCAGCATCCATATCCAGCGGATGACTCGCCCCCGCCTGCAGTGAGTATTGTGTGCAGTTTTGTGCTCTGTGTTTAGCATGGCTGACTGTGTTTTTCATAGCATTAAGTGTCACCATGAAACAAGTTGTCATGTACTGTTTCATGAAACGTGTGACTAACTTCAGTGACTCCTTCAAAGTCGGAGTGCATCTGCCTGAGAAACAAGGAACCAACAGTCTGCACACAAAAAAGTGTTCCGGACTTCTGTCTTGGCCCAGAACTTGAGTTTTGCATGCACATTCCCATTTCACAGATCTGGCTTATTTTTATTTAGATTAGAGACTCTTGCTTCCTTGCCTCTCTGGCTGATGCACTCTGGCTTTGAAAGAAGCACCTCTAATTACCCCCCCCCCCCCCCCCCCCCCCCCCCTCCATGACATGCTTGTTACGGGAGCAATGGGTCTGTTCTTTGTTCTCCAGAATGGAGCCCAGGAACCTACACAGGCAGATTCTTGAACAAATTAACGTTAGCTGAGTTATCACTCTGTATCTAATTTTGGCAAGTATTTCATTTTTCCAGGTTTGCTATGCCTAGTTTTCTGACAGTCTGTAGTCTACCTACAAGGCAGAAGGGTTGTGTTGTTTGGTTATGTTGTTTGTTCACGTCTGCTCCTACTTTGTTTGTTTTTTTATTTTCAATTAAAGGACCCTTTTTTCCTCACCTTTGGGTGTATTGAGTATATCGGGCTAGGCCTATATTTTACAGCCAAATCAGCATTCGGTGGGTGATGTGGTCAGCATTACACTGGACACCTTTACTTCCCAGGACTTAACCTGGCTATTATTTTAGGTTGGGTCAACCTGCAAGCCAAAGTCAGTTTAAAAAAAAATTACTTGATGCTGAATTCAACCCACGACCGGCCGGCCCTCAGGCAAGCGTCTAGTCCCACGCCACAGTGGCTGCAGGTAACGTTAATTGAAGACTGAGCTAAGAGTAGTTGTTTTTTTATCTCCAGTACCACCCTGGCAAGTTTGTACAGAGATATGCCGAGTCAGGGCCAACACCGTCGTCTGCCCGAGCCTACTCCATGAAATAGGGCTAGCAGTCGTGAGGCTGTGCAGTTTGAACAGGGTAAGCATAGAAGTTTCATAGCTTCAGATGGAACGGTCATACAGGGCTTGCTCAGAAGACAGACTGTACTTACAGAGTAATAAGGATGTTTTGAATATACTTTCATAGCAGCAAGGGTGTTTTGAATGTACTTACAGAGTAGCAAGGATATTTTGAATGTACTTACAGAGTAGCATGGATGTTGAGAATGTACTTACAGAGCAGCAAGGATGTTTTGAATGTACTTACAGAGTAGCATGGATGTTGAGAATGTACTTACAGAGTAGCAAGGATGTTTTGAATGTACTTACAGAGTAGCAAGGATGTCTAGAATGTACTTACAGAGTAGCAATGATGTTTTGAATGTACTTACAGAGTAGCAAGGATGTATTGAATGTACTTACAGAGTAGCAAGGATATTTTAAATGTACTTACAAGGCAGAATCAGGATAAGATGTGAATTTACTTCAGTAAGTTAGGATAAGTTTTGTAAGTACTTTTTGTAAGGGCTTGCAGGGGAAATTTTTTTCCTGGGGGGAAAAAAAATGGGATGGTGCTTATCACAAAATTGTCTGTAACAGCAGCACTGGTAAATTGAAGGCTAAAACGGTTGCTGGAACGGTGTAATTTTGAGAGGGTAGTATTGAAATGCACTCACAAGGCAGATCAGATTTGAATGTACATACAGGAAAGATGGATTAATACAAGTGTAACCTACCTTGCATGTCATAAGTAGCAGCTAAGGAGGTTTGGCATCAGATTAGTACCCCAATCCTGTAGAAACACTGAGCTGCAAAATTCAAGCAGGCGTGGCCTGGCTTTGGTTGGGAGAATATTCCACAGGAGCTGTTTGTACCTTGTTATCCTGCTATTTGCTCTTGCATTGTGGTTTACAGCTAGGCTACAGAACCTTTTGGCCGAAAGCACCAATTTTAACAAACCCCTAATTAGCCATCTTTTACAACATGGTTGGTTTTTTTTTAAAATTATTTAGTTGGGGGTAGAGGGGCCGGGTTGTGGTGCAGTGAGTATATGATTGTTGTCATGAAAATGGGACCCCACAGCCCAGCTTGTAATCCTGTTTGCTGCACTACTGGTTAGCCACTTGTGTGTTGTTGATAGATAGTGCCCTTCACTGATTGTGTCCTCAGATTGCATGTTGTAGTGATCTTGTGTTGATTTTATAAGAAAGATCTGAGTGTCATTAGAAGTAGTGAGATAGTTCAGGTTCGAGAAGTGAACACATTTTGATGGATTTTGTTAAATTGTAATATAATAGTTTTGCTTCTTCTTCTTTACTTCCTCTTGTACCACTTCGGGCATCGAGGGAGGTACAGGTTTCTGCTTCATGATCTTTTGGCTACCTCGACCCTAGACACATGCTGTTGTAAAGTTCTCTGATGTTATCTTTCGTTATTGTTCTACCTTTGGCAGCACAAGGTAATCTCTCTAAGTGAGCAAACCATTTGATTTGCTGTCTTTATATATCATTTAGAATTGGTTCTGTACTGGCCTTCTCTTTTATGACCTAATTCCTTCAAACTTGTGAGCGTTTTATCAGAGACCAAATCACTGGCCATTATGCCAGCATTGCTTCTATCATGACTAAGGGAAGCTATTAGTATTAGGCATGCATCACCTTCATTCACCAATACATGTATATAGGTTTCATACCTTCAGTACCCAACAAATGGAAAAACAGAACGCTGCTCCTTTTTGGTGTGTGTAAAAAGTGGGGAGGCCATCTTTAGACTATCATTATGACATGTTTGTTGGCACTGTGATGTCACGTGATTAAGTTTCTTTACATGCTTAACAACAATGTTGACACACAGGTTACAGGACAAGGGCTTTTACTGATCCGTTTGACTGATCTGGCTTTCTTGTTCGCGGACTGTTTTTTTTTTTTTTTTTTTTGCATCTTGTAGATGCACTCAGACATTGAAGGAAAAGACCTAATTAGTCATACAACATACACCCACACGGGGGGGGGGGGGGGGGGGGCTAGAATGCACAATAGGATCCTGGAACCCACGCGAAGAATTTCACCTTCTTAATTACTGTGCCTACATTTATTTCACACTTGTTTAAACTCATTTCACTTTAATTTATTGACGACAGGTGTACATTTAGCTGCATGTCCTCAAGTACAGAACCAGCACTTCAAGAGGAAGCCAGATATAAGAGACTACATCACACGGACTGGTGGATATTCTTCTTCGTGTTTTGCATTTCCTCTTACAAGTGCGGTTGGCACACTGATTTGAAGTTCACAGCTAAGCTGCGATATTCACAACTTTCTGCCCAAGGCATCAGATTTAAGCAATTCCTCAATTAGTCGCTTTTTACAGCCTGCTTGTTCAGGAGCACTGGATCTATTCTTGTTTTCCCAAAATTGGGGTCATGGGACCCAGGAGAATCGTGGAGCTGATGTCTGACAAACTTCTTGGGGGGGGGGGGGGAATGAAGGGCATCAAATATACTTGGTGACTCAGCGAAAACAAAGTCACACATGGATGCAAGCAGATGTTAAGCCTAGTATTAATGACTTAGCAGTCAGTCATTATGTGCTTTAGAGAACATCGCCTGAAAGTCTCTCTTGTTCTAGCCAGTATACTGTATCCACCTTCACAATGGTATACCTCTGCCTTGTTTCCGGGGTTACTGCACCCTCCATCACCGTTCTCTGTCACTGAGCAAGGCACCTAAGATACTTATTTGTTGCCCTAATTTTCTGTGTTTGAGCTTCCCAGAATATTATATATATATTCATCATGCTGATCGGATGTCCGTGACAAAATGGTCAAACTGCCTGCTCCCTACTATTGTGTTTGTGGAGTCCAGTTTCAGACTTCCTTTCTTCGGTTTGCTGGTCCGGGTATTCAGGAGATCCTCAGGGGTTGTCACTGGAGCTAAAGAGTTCCTGCTTTGTGTGGAGTTTTGAGTAGGCAGCCAGCCACTCTGCTGGTAGAGACTGAGCCATGGAAGATAAAACCTTGAGAACATATTGTGTGAAATCACTTTTCTGTGGTCTCTGCCATTTTGTAGCCAGCTTGGCTTCCGTCTGTTTTGTATCAAGAAAAAATATAGAACCGAACGAAAAGTATATCGGCAATATATATATAACAAACACAAACAAAACATGAACGTTGCAGCTATGGAGCCTTGATCAGCACATACATAAATCAAACAATACCACACAAATACACACAATCACTTAGCTGGTATCTCAAAGCAGCCGGGTGGATGACTCGTAATCTATCTGTGTTGTGCCTTTCCTTTTGCCGAACTTTCTAATTATATTTTATGTTAATTAATTCTTTAGCATCAGCTTAACAGCAGCCACTCTTGTTTTAATGAGAGGAGATTCTGGTTTATACGTACCCAAGTGCAATTGTTGAAAAAGATATTTTTTTTCATGTAAAAATTAATTTCTGTATAGTTATATTTGGGTATATTGATTCACAAGACTACCTGCGTAGAAGAGGAAAGACTGTGTTACGCTGTTGTGTGAGTAAAGATATCAGTGGCCTGCAATATGGGGAGGGGGGCGTGAGGAAGTTTCAAGGAGGCGTCAGGCAGTTTTGGGTTCTTTATTAATATCCTACCCCAGATGACGTCACAGGACAGTCCAACATTTTAGAGGGTGGTAAGACTGGGTTTCCCGGCTTTCTGGCGCTTTTAACGACCCCAAAACATTTAGGACTGGCCCTAACCCCAACCCACCTACGTCCCACAAGAAAGTGCAGCCCAGGTCCCACGACCGCATGCAGCCTAGGTCCCAAGACAGCATACAGCCTATCTACTACCCCCTGAAATATTATACTGACCCATGGATTTCCCGTGTTTAGGGTAAGATATTAATAAAGCACTCAGTTTTGAAAATGAGTTCACTTGTACTTGTCATTCTGGTTTTTATGTACCCAAATGCAATTGTTGAACAAGATTCATTGTCAAAATGAACTTCTGTATAGTTTGGGAATATCGATTCACAAGACTTGTCTGAGTAGAGGAGGAAAAACTGTATTACGCTGTTGTTTAAGTGTAGATGATAATGATGCCAGGATTATCTCCCAGTAGTGACCCTTTTCAGCGCCTTTGGGCATATAGGGCTAGACCTAGATTTTATAGACCAATCGGCACTTTGTGTGTAATGTTGTCAACGTCACACCGGCCGCCTTTACTTTCTAGGACTGTACATGGTGCCCATTTAAGGCAGAGTCGACCTGGGAGCAGAGGTCATGGGGGGGGGGGGGGGGGGGGGGGGTCAGACTCCATCAGGACCCGAGCCCGCGACTTTTGGGTCCGCAGGCAAGCCCCTGGCAAACTCTAGAAGTGGCAGGTGTTTTTTTAGCGTAGATACAAAATCCTAAAGTGATAACTGTAATATTTGTGGTCGCTACGTTTAAACTGAAGCGTATGATCTTAACATGTTCACTGCATAATACAGTCAGTGCTGAATGTTTTTAGCTCATTGCATGTTCACTGTTTCATGTTTGGTGTATTTTGCATTCATCATGAATACATTCTATTCACTGATATTGTTGATACATCCGTTATATTGTTTGAATGTTGTTTTTGTGAAGGAATTGGTTTTCTATCTCTAGCAACATGTTATAATAAGAATTGAGTGACAGTTAATTTTTCATTAAATGGTAATGTAATAATAAGGAAATATAATAATGTAATAACCAGTACTGAACTGTATAGGTAGACAACAGATCAAATGGTTTGGTCATGTAAGAAGATTGGCATCAGACAGGGCAGTACAGAGAATAGTGTTATACAGATACAGCGGAAACAGAGGTCGACTGTGCAGAATATGGACCGCAGAAATATCAGTACTTTAGACATAGCGAACAGAAGGACCCGTTTCAAAGATATTTTTCTGCCCTGATGCAGCAAGGCATTCCAGATGTCGAGAAAAGAAGGAGAAGAAGATTTTATATAACAAGGTTTATATAGCCAAATATTTTATGCTGTCGG